CAGAGCAGTGTGAAGAGTGATGGCTATAGCATCCTCTGTAGATCTATTTTTTCTGTATGCAAACTGTTGTTTATCAAATGTATGCGGAAGACCAGAAATGATGTGCCGGCAGACCAATTTCTCAAAGCACTTCATGATGATAGGAGTGAGTGCCACTGGTCTGTAATCATTGAGGTTGATAGGGAACGTCTTCAGAAGGAAGGAAGGGAGAGAGGGAGGGATGGAGGGAGGAGGAAAGGGAAGGGGGGAGGGAAGGAAAGGAAAGGAGAGGAGAGGAGAGGAGACGAGAGGAGAGGAGAGGAGAGGAGAGGAGAGGAGAGGAAATCACCACCTAATTTTTTATATGACTTTAAATTAAGATGTGAAAAGAGATTATACACAGAGAGTTTACAGGTGGTCCTTGACTTACAACAGTTCATTTAGTGACCATTCAAAATTACAATAGCACTGAAAAAGGAGGAGAGCAGCTGGCCAGCCGGGGGAGGCCTCCCGTGCTGCGAAAGAGGCAGCCAACGATCTCCGGCGCCGTCCTGCTCCACGCGCTGGCTGCTTGGACTTGCCGGGCCCGGCACATAGAACAGGGCGGTGCCGGATGTTGGAGAAGCCGAGCGGAGCCGAAGCCACCTCGGCTCGCGTTGTTTTCTGAGCCTGCGAGCCTAGCGCCAGGGCGCTTTCATTGCACGGCGGAGCTTCTTGTCTCGGGAAAAAACAGGCATCGTTGCTGCCCCCTGAGGGGAGGGCGATTCTGGGCTGCGCGATTGGGGGACTTCGTGGCTTTGGGTGGGAGCGAGGATGGACAGAGTCTGTGAAGTGGGGCTTGCCTGCCCTTGCTGGCTGCCTCTGCTTCCTTGGGGGCGGGGAAGGGGGCTCATCTGGACCAAGGGTGAGTCTCCCCCTCAGTTTCCCCTGAAGGATCTTCCGTCGCTTTTGCCTTCTCCCTACATCTTCCCTCTGTTAAAAATCCCCCCCACACACACACACTTATTTTCGGGCGGATAGATTTTGTGTCTGAGCATTCTCACATGACAGTGGGTCTTTCCCCCCCCCAAAACAGTTAAAAAAAGAAAAAACAATATATCCTCATGCAAGAACTTTTCTGCTTCCGATTACCCCCATGCTTAAAAGTTGCAAAGGAAACACGGAAGCAGGGAAGCGCCTGCCCAGCTCCGGAGCTCCACACCATTTTTTTTCAGAGGGGAATCTTACTCGAGTATAAGCCGAGGGGGTTTTTTTCAGCACAAAAAATGGGCTGAAAAACTCGGCTTATACTCGAGTATATACGGTATGTCATTGTCATGCCCCTGGTGGAGACTGACTCTGAGGGAGAGGAGGAACAGCCGACAGAAGTGGAAGTGTGGCTCTGGAGATTGTGGAGGAGGCTGGGGAAGGGCAGAGGCCAGCTGAGCAGTCAGAGGAGGTCCCAGGCCCATCCGCTCTCCATCCTAGGGCATGCAGGGAGGAGAGGATAAGGGAGAGACTTGGTCTACTCAGAAGGAGAGGGCCTTGATCCTCTTCATGGGCTGTAGCAGTGACAACTTTATAAGAGGACGGACATGCATGCTGGCGAGTGCTGGAAACAAAGTGTGGAAATATCTCTAGTTCATGGTTCCTCTCTGAGTTTGGCGCCCTTCCCAGTGTGTGTTCTGTTATCTGTGGATATCCTCCAGCCCTTATCTTGCCTGATTTGTGTTATTTTTTACTCTTTATAATTTAAATGGCATTTCCTCATTCTTGTAACTGCTTGTGTGGGAGGGTTTTTTTTTTTTGTCTCCAGTCAAGGATATTTGGAGTTTGGAAGTAAAGTGAAGGAATAAAAGAGGCTTCACATGTTTTTTGTGACTGTGTTTATTTTGTATCCCACCCTGGGTCATCACAGTCATATTTTCATATATTTATATAGTTATTTACATATTTATACATAAGTATACATAGTTATACCTATTCATATCAAATTATTTTATCACACCATAATGTTTCATTTCATCTCTCTATTTTGTGTCTACCTTGCAGCCAATTATACAATAAATTCCAAATTTCATAGTACTCTGTCTCTTCTCTCTCCTTCATTTCCATTGAAAAGCCTATCCATTTCTGCACACTCTAAAACCTTTTTTATGTTCATAATATCGGAGAGAATGCTGCCACTTTTCCAATTCTGGGCAAAGGCTATTCTTGCTGCAGTTATTATATGTAATATAATATATTGGAATTTCTTACTTATTTTATCTCTTAATATACCCAATAGGAATATCTCTGGTCTCAATTCAATTTTCTGTTTTGTAATTTCCTCCAGCCATTTCCTAATTTTTTAGCTTGAGGGCATGTCCACCACATATGGAAATAGTTTCCTTGTTTGTAATTACAATTCCAACAATTTGCTGATCTATTAGGGAACATCTTAGCCAATCTTGCTGGGTGTAAATGCCAACGATAAAACATTTTGTATAAATTTTCTTTGTATGCTGCTGATAGAGTTAGTTTATAGTTTATTTCCCATAATTTTTCCCAATCTTCCAAATTAATGCTGTAACCAAAATTTTTCACCTAAATTATCATGGTCTCTTTTACCACTTCCTCTTCCATTCGGTATCTTAGGAGATAATTATATATTTTGGTAAACATTTTTTTCATCTGACTCTTGTAATATTTTATCTAATTCCTGCTGATCATTATATATTCAAAATTCTTCTATGTCTTTCTTATATCTTGTTTGAATTTGTAAATAGGGCCACCAGTCTATTTTTAATCCCCTGTTCTTCAGTTCTTGATTAGTTTTTAATTTTCCCTGTTCATCCAATAATTCTTTATATCTCACTATTTTATTTAAGTCAAGGACATTGAGATACATCATTGCTTCTATGGTGGATAATGAAATTGGGATCTTCATGTAATGGTTTTTCTTGATTTTCTCCCATAGAGATAATAAAGTGTCTCTAACTTTGTACCTCTGGAAGTATGAATGGAATATATTTTTCCCTTCACATATAAATGCATGCCAACCAATCTGCAGATCATGGCCCTTTATTGTTAATACTCATTTATTTTTTAGATTTACCCAATCTTTGATCTATGTTAAGACTGCGGCCTGGTAATAGAGCTCCCAATCTGGGAGTCCAAAATAGGACATATTATTTGATGTTTATATGTGTTTATATGAACACATAAATAATAGATCTCTATGTCTAAAACACATTTTATTATTGCTTCCTCTGATTCTTGAATTACAAAGTACCATAATTGGTTTGCATACTATAAACTATTAGGCAAATATTTGTCTATTTGAATAATTGTTGCAGAAAACTATTTTATAAAAATTGTTCAACGGTATTACCATTATCATTGTTGAAATATGTGTCTATCATTTAGTATGCTTATCTAAATAATAATAATTGGATACACAAACAAACTTCTATAGATACAGAAAAATGGATAGATTGATAGGAAGATATGGGGAGGTAGAGAGAGAGAGAGAAAGGGAGTGATTCATTTTGTATTTTGCCAATGGATATTCTTTTCCATTGCCTAATCTGCATAAAAATGAATTATCATTATACTTCAGGGAACCTCTAAGTAGTAGAAGTAGTTAGACAAATAAATATATTTACTTTATGAAGTATAAAAAGAAACAATATAAAACCTTAAATCTTTCTCTAGAGTACCTTAGAAACTACCTCTCCGAAATAGCTTTCTTACAGTAAATTCCACTTGGGTTTAACCAAAGGGGAGTTTTTCTGTTTTAACAGTACAAAGGTATTTTATTTATAAGATAGGAAAGATATGTTTCTAGTAAATTTTATACTTTCAGTTTCTTTGGATCCTGCAGAAGAATAATTTATTGCAAAAAGAAACAAGTAAAATGTGTTAGTCACACTATTAAGTTTTATTTTGATCATTAACCAGCATAAAATGTTAGTACATGACGACAATTTAAAATCATCCTAATATGAGCAGTTTTATGTATGTGTTGTGGGAAAAGTAACTAAATTTCAAAATTACTGAAAAAAAATTACCTGCACCTGTTAAAAGTGCAAGTTCTTCTGATCTTGCCTATTGTTACTTTGCCTAAAATAACCACTGAGAAAAAACTAAGATTACAATGCATTTAGCCTGGTTAGCTAAATCAGTTAGGGTTTTTTTTTTTTTGTATAAAGTAATTCCATATAATTGAAAATCCATTATTGATTATTTGATAGGCTTCATTCAATTACTGTTGTATTTTCTATTTCATCAATTTCATAAAATAGTTAATACAAAATAATGGTTATAAGTTGCATGTACTACTGATATTGAAAATTATGGTAAAATTATTAAATTGCCAAAGAGTATTAATATGTTTAAAATAAAAATAAAAATTCAAATAATTTTAAAAAGCATTTCACAATATATAGTTTCATTTCTCAATATATGCACCTATCTTCTCATTCTAATGGACATAATGCATTGGTATACATTCTGGTGAACTCTGTTTTGTAATTTGGGAAGCAGACATTATACACTGATTCACCAGCCCCACCCTTTCAACTCTAGAATACTTTAACAAGGGCAATTACAAAAGAACAAGCACATGGATTCTTCTAGTGATCAACACTCACTGCCTCTAAAAAAACAATCATCAAGTGGGAATTAATAATAATTTGATAATTCTGATAAAAATAACCACGTTTTTTTTTAAGCCACCAACCTATTATATCTATGGCACGTTCATTTGTTTTCCAGCTACCTGTATTTGTTCAAATAAGAAAAACATAGAATGATAAAAAGGAGTATATGAATGTGAAAATATATATAGTCATAAGAAGAAACATAATTTTAATGATCCATAGTCAACATTTTTACCTAAAAAAGCATTTGCAAAATTTAAAAAAACCTAAAATATAATGATTATTTAACTACAAGTTATGAGATTTTAATATAAATACCCTTTAATTCTGGGTTTCTTCAAGGTTTTTGGCCTTTAAGATAAAAATAATATCAACATTCAGATATATGATGTAGAGTTGTTAAGGATTTGCTACAGCTTTCAACATTTGCAGGATATTTTTAGTATTATTTTTCACATTTTTTTTTGTTGCTTCTAGAAGATTTTTGATGTCTTGCTCTGGGTAAGATAGGCTGAAGGTCTTATACCTATTGCGCCAGTCTGATATGTTACCTTGGAAAACAAAAAACATGAAATTCAGTAAGTAAGGAAACATTTCCTATAATAACATGTTTTTAACATGCTTTCAGTTTATAAGTAAATGTATATCTGTATTTTGTTTGGTACTTTTCAACATAAATTGAATGAAATATAAAAGGAGGTAAAAATCCTTTTACACAATGAGGTCATTTTTAAGGACTTAGAAAAAGGTATTTTGTAAGCATTAGAAAACAATCTTTGGAAAGATTGCCATAGAAAAATAATGTAATAATAATTATATAAAATAGCAACATTTTAATCACTGAACAGGGCAATTAAAGCTATATCCATAATCCAATCCAACCTGTCAATCCAGTTTGGGGAATTTATCTGAATGGGAAATTATCCATCATCAATCATCTTATGAAGCATAGAAATTAGAGGAAAGTTTCTTCACTAAGTTCAGTGTTGCAAAAAAAAAACATAAAAAGATATTAATTTTAATCTTCTTGCTCAGAAACTACAAACTGACTGGCAGGTCAAAGTTATCCCAGAATATAGGAAATAAATAGTTACAAAGTATACTTATTATTTTGCCTAGGGAAGATTGACACATTCATTTTGAAGTGTTTATCAAGAACATGTGATGTACCTCCACAATTCACTTTGTTGAAAAGTGGAAAGTGCATGACAGTTGGACAACCATTGCCTTTGAAGATGTAACAGTCTCCAGGGTTGTCTTTATCCTTGTCTAAATTTTGGGCATCAATTTCAGGAAATGGAAGCTTGTTTTCTTCGCAGTATTGATTTGTTTTCTTGATAGTCTGTAGTAAGAGAAGATGGAAAAGTGATACTTAATAAAATCAATTCAAACTGCAGGATTCTATACTACAGATGAGGTGTATACACTGAGAGGGGTTGTATCTATGCAGCAAATAATAATTATGCCATGTATCAGTAGTAGTAAGTTAAAATACCTGAGCTAAAATAATAACAAATAATATATTAATCATCCTGGTTGGGCTTTCATGGCACACTCAATAATCACATTGTAGTTTAATATATTATGCAAAATGAACTATTATGAAGTGCTGCATCCTAATAAGAAATATTGATCTTGGTTAATTTGTATTGGTTAATCCATAAAAACACATGTTGGTTTGTTTCACAATTTTTGTATACCAGCCCAAATTTAGAATTCTGGACTGTACACAACAAAAATAAAACAAAATACATTTAAAACATATAATTTAATTAAATAATCCTAAACATATTAGAATAAAGTGGTAATGCATTGGATGTCCCAAACCACACTATAAATCAGTCTTAAGTCTTACTGGAATAAATGTCTTCAGGGCCTTGGTGGTATGAGATTTGCAGCCAACTACACTTCTGGGGAGAGTATATTCCAGACATTATTATTGAGAAAACCTGACAGCTTGTCCATGTCCCCCGAACCTTCTAGGAGAAGAGTATAGTAGGCCTTCTGTCAATGTCCAAAAATAAGCAAACAGAATCCTGCATTGTGAGGTGTTCATGATATATTTCACCAAATAAGGCTTTATGATAATGGCTAGCATTTTGAATTGCAGCCAAAAGCTTATTGAAATCAATTATAGTGGCCTTAAAAGAGATGTGATTGTACAATAATGGGTTTTACTAGCTAACATATACTAGTTTCCACACCAGCTGCTTATTGTAAAGTGTCTTCACAAGCTGCATCATGTATTTACTTGTAATAGTTCAATCATAATAAAATCTTCCATTGCAGTCCAAGTAAATACATATAATAGCTAGACTGACCAGTCTCAATTATCTCTCCCAAATATCTGATATCAGAAATTGCACAACTCAAACAGCAGCATGCCACTTTTTTAGACCCTTTCTCACTGACCTCAGCTTGGGAATAAGACTAATTTAACAATAGCACTTAGACTTATATACCATTTCACAGTGCTTTAAAGTGGTGTCTAAGCAGTTTACAGAGTCAGCATCTTGCCCCAACAATCTGGGTCCTCATTTTATGAACCTTGAAAGGCTGAGTCAACCTTGAGCCAGTGAAGCAGTCACTGGCAGATGGCAATCAGAAAAATTAGTTTAAAACACTGTATTTTGACCACTGTGCCACCATGGCTCTTTTAATTAAATTAACATTTAATTGTTAAACAGTTGAGCTACACTGTATTAAAATATGTACGAATTTCTCACCTACTTTCATTGCTTTGACCAATTTATCACTGCAACAATATGCCATTATAGGATCCTATAAGTAGTGTATCTTCCAGTTTCTTTTATTCTAATAACAGCAATATATGTGTATATATTTTCTTAGCACTTTATTCTATATACCTGATGAACTATACTATGATCCTCAAAAATTTAGGACAAAATAAATTGCTCAGATATTCAGGAGTCATGAGATATTTTGTTTTTGCTATAAAAGACTAAATGCAGCTAGCTTTTCATGTTTATTTTGGAATGGCCTTTAATCTATTTTTTGCAATTTTTATGTGATTTGTTGCATTTCTATGTTTTCTATTACTTAACACAGCCATGTTGAATGTATTTTTCAGCTCTCAGTTGCATCACGACATTTTGAAAAATGTGGATCTGGATATGGCAAAGAAGATTTTACCAATAGGAATGGTATTCATACATTAGATACATTTGTGTAAAAAGGAGACCTTAACTGATGTCCTTTCTAAGATATGCAGAACTTTGAGAGGGTGATTCATTTCACTGATCATGCAAGTGATCTGTTGCTGATCTGAAATAGCTCTTGAAAGCAAATATGTGCCCTGCTTTTAATTAGCAAGAGAGAGCAGATATGTCTTATATCTCAATAACACAGGCATGATTCATGTATAAAAGTACTGATCACAAGTTGGGATGATCATTCAAAGAAGATTGGTTGTATATTTTTCTACCAAGAAGAACTGGACTGTTACAAGAAAGCAATTTATGAAACTGAATTGCCTGCAATGTGACAGTTACTATGACTAACTCCTAAAATGCACCATTAAATTTCAGCTTGAAGAATATTGTTAGTATCTCAAAGTACATATATTTATTATAAAAAGAATAAAAAAAATGCCAACATGAAAAACCTACTTCGAAAGGATCTCCGTCACTAAAATCAAAAGACAAAATGAGTTCCACTTTTCTTTCTGGGCGTAAGATAAGGGGGTAAGCAGAATTTATGACTATGCTAGCATCTGCCAACTGAATATCTGTCTTATCAGTCAAGTTTTTGTCCTTCAGGTCAACTAAGGGGGAGAGAACAAAATATTTTCTTTATCACTTATCTAGAAATCACTTTGAATGATTCAGATACATGATACAAACCTAATCTGGAACTGTGGAAATGGCTTGTGCTCCCATCTATCTAAAATTCTTAGCTCTGATAAGCATTATCCTTTCCTCTCTTGGGTAGAAAACAAAATGATTCAAAATAATTGAGAAGTTATCGTAATATTACCCCAATGTTGTCCTTACATTTACAATCACTTCAAAATACTGTATATTGTACCAAATCCTATCAAATGTCTACAATGAACTTTATCTGGTTTTAAGGTCATAAAATGAGCTCTTTAAGATAATTCCAGATACCTATCTAATTCAATGATTAGGAAGCACATAAATGTAGATTTGCCTCACTGCTACTCCTTAAAAACTGATTTTTAAAGCACATCTTTGCTCATTGCAGTAGAACACAGTTATCCAGTAGCCGTTTTGTTAAAATTGTTTATTTTAACTGGCCTACACTTTAAGTGTCAGGGAACTATTAGTTGGCATTTTAAACATGTTGTTCAAATATTATGCTGCCAGTAGTTTAGTGTAGTTGTTAAAATACCAGTCTAGAAATCAAGAACTGATCAGACTTAGGCATGTTTAATATTTAGATGTGAACCACATGGAAATTACTAGATTTTGTAGGTAGGCGAATCATTTCTGAAACCCTGCCAAAAAAACTGTGTGGGTGTAATTAATAGGGTTTAATTTTAACTTAAAGTTATATTTTTCCATTTTGTTCTGATCATAAAAGACTGTCACAACTGAAGATAAATAAATTTAAAGGCATATGCATTCATATATACTTATGTTATTCTTACTGTATTTGTAAGTATAGATGTTTCCCCATTTCCATTTAAGGATGCAAGTAAGAGTTTTGTACATACATTTTATGATGTCCCATATACCTGGAAAATAATAACAATAATATTAATAATATGAAAACAATCCATTTATTCAAATGTTTTTCCATTTAAATGCTGATATCCCATATACATGATCACAATTTTCTAGGGAATCTGTGAGGAGAAATCTTGATATGGTGGCTTCACAAAAAATTAGCCTGAAACTATGGTTAAAAATGTAAAATAACAATAGCAATATACCACTTTATAGTGCTTTACATCCCTCTCTAAGCAGTTTACAGAGTCAGCATATTGCCCCCAACAATTTGGGTCCTCATTTTACCCACCTCAGAAGGATGGAAGGCTGCATCAACCTTGAAAAATCAAAATTTTGTAAATACTTTCCATGTAAAAGAAAGGTGAAAGTATCAAAGTATGTATGGAAAATAATAGTACTGAATATTTAATTAAATGTATTACTTGTAATAGGAAATTAATTTAGTTGTCCTGGTCTGATTCACTAGTTTTTGAGTCTGGCTTTTGACACATAATTCACATTAAACCAGTTTTTGTCTAGAAAAAGCTATTACACCCCATAACCTATTCATCCCATAAATTGGTCAACTTGTTGGTTAAAGTTGAAGCTATTTATCATCCTAGAATATTAATGGTACCA